TGTGGCTGATCGGTGGAAGTTGAATGAAAGCTACATTTTCTTGAATGAAAAACACACTCTTTCGTTATCAATTTAGTCTTCAGAACGCTGAAAATCCCATTTTAGGGCTTTGAAATTTCAAAGTTTTCTGAGGGAGGATGCCCTCAGACCCCCGTACAGGTACAGGAAAAACAGCCTCTTGTGGCTACTTCAATTTTTATTGAAACGCCTGGATAAAAATGAAAAAAGTAACTTTTTGTAAATTTAAAAAATAATGTCACTTAGTAGGAACTTTATTTACAATTTACAAACATTTCGGGGATTTTGTCAAGTGCATTTTTACAATTTTGTTGCAAACTCAGCATGAAGTAATTTTCTACCTGCCGGTGAACACCGGCAAACCAAAGTTCGTCGTTTTGTTGGTATTTGTTTGTACGAATGCTTCATTCACTTGTCTACAAGTAAGGCTATGAACTCTTTCGGAACAACAGCTGTTTGATGGCTGTGGCGCACAGCCTCTCAAGTTTGTATCAAATGCAGAAGGCTCAATTTGCCAGTTCCTAAACCCGTTTTTTTTTTTTTTTTCAGGTGTTCAGAAAGTAGGTTATCATTATTTTTGTCTTGTAAGGTTTCATTTCTTTTCGTTTTCCTCTGCACTGTTCCCAAAGGGCTGGTTCACGGTATTTTTCTTGCCCACCAGAACAACTCTTCAGGTCTCCTGTGGAACACCAAGCACTAACGTTGCCGTTGTAGCAAGCTACCGTCTGAATTATTGCTGGTGTTATTGTTTTGCTTTGCAGACAAAAAAAATGACATTGAAAAATCTTGTCCCAAATCCAAGGTTGAAGTTTTGCTGCTTGTCTTGTCCGTGTGCTGTCATCTTTGTACGTATACGTAAAAGACATAGGTAAACATCAGTGGATAGCTAGGCAGCCATTTATGTGGATCAGATTCAGGCCCAGCCAGGGTTATCACTTCACTTCCAAGTACAGCTGTAAGTTAGTGTCACATTGTTTTTTTAAAAAATATTCCAAAGAATTAATCGTTTTGAGTCAAGTAAATGGATGCAAAATGTACAATGAAATGCCAACTATTACATGTGCTGCCTCACAAAAATAAATTGGCACTAAATATTGTGCAACTATCTCCCGAAGGGGAGGTGAATCGGGGTGGATATATACCAAGACACAAAGCGTCGAGGCATATATCTAGTGCTGTTCACCAACCAAATCCAAACTCAAATCAGTTGGAAAAAAATGAAAAAAGTAACCTTTTTGTAAATTAAAAGCATCACTTAGTAGGAACTTTATTTACAATTTACAAACATTTTGGGGATTTCGTCAAGTGCATTTCTACATGCAAATTCAGCATGAAAATAATTTTCTACCTACCAGTAAACACCGGCAAGCCAAAGTTCATTGCTTGCCTGGTATTTTTTGTACGACTGCTTCATTTATCGTTCAAATTTCGTCTTCCGAAATTGTCTCAAAGTGAGATGCCATCTGGACTCCGGTCGCAAGACAATGAATAGCCAAGGATATTCCGATTCACAGGAGCCAATCAAAACAAACGAAAAGTGCTATTAACTGATTTGATAAATACTAATGGTGGATATATACCGAGACGCGAAGATTTTGCAGAAACACATTATTGGAAAAGTGAATGGGAATTTGATAATTTCCATTGAAAAATCCATTAGTGGAATAATAACAATAGTGAATAATAACAAACTTCCACTAATGGTAATCTGATAGTTATCATTCCAGGAATTAACACATTCTCCATCATGCAGCTTGCAAAGAATGATGAGGCCTGAATCTCATGAAAAGACGAGATCCATAGTGAACATTTCAAGAGAGTATACTCACTCCTTTAGTTGGATCGAAGAGGAGTATTGAGTTTTTGGCTCTTTAGTGCACACACATTTAACACTCAAATTGACCTCCTTCTGACATTTTTGGAAATAACAGACCTTGACATTTTTTGTACTGTATTTACCCGTGTATAATGCACACCCGTATATAATGCGCATCCTATTTTTCAAGACACTTTCTAGAAAAAAATTGTAATTCCTATTGTTATTAAAGCCACAAACCGAAACGTTTTCAGTGCAAAATACAACAAAATATTCTTCATTATAACAGTTTATTACAAGTACCCGTAAACTTCAAGTTTACAGAAGAAAATTTCGACTTTTTATCTTACAATCTTTGTTACACAGCAATGATGATATCCTAGTGGCCTATTTACAAAAATACCAATACCTTAAAATCCTTCGAAGTCTGACTCTGACTCAGAGTCATTAAAAAGTTCTGTCAAGAGGGAGTCATCTGCCACGATCGATTCATCATCTGAGGAGGTATCAAATATAAAATCGTCTTCGGAACCGTCCAAAGAATTTGTAATTCTGCACTTACAAACGAATTCGCAACCATTTCTCTTGGAATGTCACGCTGTGCTTCGCCGATCCACTGACACATGAGCTCTTCGGATGGTTTTTTCTGGCATCCACCCTCCGTAAGTTCATGAATTCCTTTAGCCATCCATGCCATCCACTTTTGCCTCACTCTGTCTTTGAACGGCTTGTTCAAACAAACATCTAAAGGGTGCAACACTGAAGTTAAACCCTCAGGAATAACTGCTAAATCTGTGTTCTTGCTTTTGAATGAATGCTTGACTTGCTCAGTCTTATGGGCTTCGAAAGAATCAAGCACAAGAAGACTCCTTCGTCTTCCAAGTCCTCCGATTCATGATCGCCATACTTTCTCGATCCAAATTTTCATGATATTTTCATCCATCCATCCCTTCTCCTGCACGGCAACAACGACGCCATGTTTGTTTGCAATTTTGGGCATGGTTTTGTGTTTGAAAATAACCAGCGGTTTCAGCTTGGAACCGTCTCCTGCACATGTCAAGACAACCGTCAGGCGATTCTTTTCGTTTCCAGTTGTCCGAATCTTCACAGTTTTCTCGCCAGTTTTACTGACAGTTCGATTTGAGGGCATGTCAAATTGAATCGGACTTTCGTCCATGTTTGCCACAAGATGAAGTGGGTAGCTGTGGGCTCTTCGCTGCTTGATAATGAACTGCTGAAGCTGCACGATTATCTCTTCATAGTTGGGGGGAAGACGCTGGGCCAACGTTGTTTTCTGCCTCAAAGACAAGCCATTTCTCTTCATAAACCGTTGACACCAATGGTTGGAAACCTTAAACTGAGCAGCAGGAATCTCGTACTTTGGATCTTTGGAAATTTCAAAGGAACATTTGAAATCAAGGCCTATGCACACACATTTTCTGCCACCAGAGCTTTTTTGTTGTGTTTGAAAATAATAATAACGATTTTTGTTATTGCTGCAATGCTACTGAAATTTTGTGGCTTGATTTTACCCTTGGTTTAATTTTTTTTTGTTTCAACCTCATAAATCATAGTGACCTTACCGTGCCCAAAGACAAAGTAAAAGAACATAACAACAAAGAATATATTTGAAACACAACAAATATATCTTTAATGATTACATTAGCTTGTGGAAGTCATACTTATACTGTCTACTACAGTAATTGAAACTAAAGACTTTCTTATGCAGACCCTGAGCATAAGTCAGAAAATTTCAATGTCCAAATTTATTAATATTATATTTGCCATGGAAGGGGATATTGGATTTGGCTCTCTTTGACCTGAAGAATATTATTATGAGATCTGGGAGGAAGATGTCCACCTTGGCAATCCTCAAACTGCATAATTCTTCAGATCATAAATAGCCTCATCCAATAGCCCCGGGGGGATATTACTTTATAAGGGGCTAAGAGGTATGTGCCGCTGGATGTGGTCACATTATTTATGGTGAACAAACATACCGGAATGTTTTGTGCTGTAGGTGAAAAGTGAAGTGTCTTCTTTCAATATAAAGTAGGCACATGGAAAATGACTAAGATATGATTACAAAAATTACGTATCTGCTCAAAAGTGTCTAAAATGGGGTTAATAATTGGCCACAGAGTACACTATAATGGGATAGGGGCTCTGAGAGCTTACTATCTTCGAAACTAAACCTGTTGTCATAGACTATAGCAACAGTCACTTTTTAGGTTCCTTGTTCAAAGGGCAATCTTTATGTGATGTCCGCTGGTGACGAGTGGATCCACAATGACACCTTCTTCCACTCACAACTAACAGATCATCTTCGTTTCCAAGTATTTCATTCACGTCTGAAACTAGCTGGCCATCATCATCTCCTTAATCGTCTGAATCTCCTCCATAAGTGTGTCTAACTGCCTGCTGTCTCACCCACTTTTTCCTCGCCTCCTGATCTCCTGTTCTGGCTACTTTCATTCTAATTCACTGTTGCTTCCTTGCTTCTGTTTGTTGTTTATTCAATTTAGCCGCACGATCCTGTACACATTTGACGAGTGCTTCAACCGCTGCTGGAATTACTGGAAGGTTCAGCCTTTGGTAAAGGTCTATGACCCAATGGTAGTTGTTGCCTCTGACTTTAAAGCACCATGTCACGTTAGCTTGGCATAGACCAGCATTAGTTGATGCCATGTAGTGCAACCTCAGATGAAAATAGCAAGAAGACAAAGTTAACAAAACATGTCCATAGTCCTAAAAACCCAGACCAGCAAACCGAAATAACATTTTCCACGCTGTGTACTTAGATTTCCATGTAGTCCATCCAAAGAAACACAGACACTTTCTACAAATACATTTTAGACAACAGTCTATTATCAATTTAGTTTCCCTTAGAGTTTGGTTACTAATGGATGAATTAAAAAAAAATAAAAGGTATACACTGATTTGTTTTACTTTCAGTTTTAAGCCATGATACAATCCTGGGTGATGTACAGTACATTTAGGTGGTAAATAAAACAAATTATAGGAGACAGGCAAATTTTAAGATGGCTGACTAGACAAGATATTATCTACAAGAGTTGGAGCATGCAATCATACCTGCAGAGGCTCTGGCTTTTAGTCGGAACTGGGGAAGAACTGTGAAGCTTGCCTCACAGAGGTTCGAATGGCCTCAACCCATTTCAGGATGAATAACACTGTCAGCCTCGTCTGCTCTTCTTTCGCACTCTATTCTGTATGCAAGCCAATGAAAATCACACTTGAGTGGTGTTTTGGTCTTGTATGGCTCCCCAGTGCATTCAACTTGATCTTCTTCACATTTCTTGCAACTGCAAGTTCTTGCTGGATGAAAGTTACAGGAGCCGCCTTCGTCCCAGTCATGGATGTCCCGCACATGGCACTTTGAGAGGACCCTGACGCGCTGTGCATAATCATCAGGATTAGTACACTGTTGCAGGCAGCAAAAATGGTTTATACGGGCACCTTTGATAAATGAATCGGATATTCAGCCACAACCAGCCCGGTGTCGTTTGCATTTGCACTTTGCAGTTTCAATTTCAGGAAATTTTGCTTTGTATTTGGATTTCATATCCTCTGAAAACTCCTTCTTCTTAGCAGCCTCTCTCAAGTTATTGCTATGAGCTCTCCCCACATNCCTGCAGAGGCTCTGGCTTTTAGCCGGAACTGGGGACGAACTGTGAAGCTTGCCTCACAGAGGTTCAAATGGCCTCAACCCATTTCAGGATGAATAACACTGTCAGCCTCGTCTGCTCTTCTTTCGCACTCTATTCTGTATGCAAGCCGATAAAAATCACACTTGAGTGGTGTTTTGGTCTTGTATGGCTCCCCAGTGCATTCAACTTGATCTTCTTCACATTTCTTGCAACTGCAAGTTCTTGCTGGATGAAAGTTACGGGAGCCGCCTTCGTCCCAGTCATGGATGTCCCACACATGGTACTTTGAGAGGACCCTGACGCGCTGTGCATAATCATCAGGATTAGTACGCTGTTGCAGGCAGCAAAAATGGTTTATACGGGCACCTTTGATAAATGAATCGGATATGCAGCCACAACCAGCCCTGTGTCGTTTGCATTTGCACTTTGCAGTTTCAATTTCAGGAAATTTTGCTTTGTATTTGGATTTCATATCCTCTGAAAACTCCTTCTTCTTAGCAGCCTCTCTCAAGTTATTGCTATGAGCTCTCCCCACATGTCCTCCACATTTATATACCTTACCAGCAGGATAATGCAGACTGATGGACTTGGCTGCACTTGAATCCCTATCCTGCCACACAACCTCAACCTTGCCCCCCTCAATCTTTGTCTGCTCATAACATTCATCTGCTAGCACACCCTCCATCGACTTTGCTGTGCCCTCATACAACTCCTCCTCGAAAACATTATCCTTCCCCCGCATGCACTTGTGCCCATACTAGAGTAATCCACCAGTTAAATAATTCTTAACAATAAAAGAACCATTTTTACTAAAATGTCCACGAGTGTGCCACACTCCATCAGAAGTAACGACAGCTCGTGTCCAGCTACCCAGTTCATCTTGTGATAATTCTTGCATGTTTTTTTTTTCTTCTTCACACATCTCATCAAGAATATCCTTTATGTGCGGGTATGCCAGTTTAATAACATTATAATATCTGTTCTTGGATATGCACGAAATCCCCAAATACTGTCTTAAAGTTCTATTGAAGTTCGCAAACCCATGACCAGACAAGAAAAAAGCTAGTGCTAAAGCAAGTCCAACCACCCTTCGTTTTGACCCCTCTGCAAGAGCAGATCCTTGAAACATCAATGACCTTTTCTCACACCCACTACACATAAACCAAACATTAAGGCTACCTCCCAGGCCTGTGGGTTCCACTTTGGAGACCACAAGAATACCTGGAAATGAAAGTAAAGTTGGGCTTGGAATGGGAAGAATGGGCTTGTGCTTGATCAAGTTGTTGTGTCAATACACACTTTTGAGAAAAGGAATGGCTACGAGTCAAAACCCATTACTCATAGACCTTGTCAAGGTTTTCAACGCCATCTTGACGAGTAGGCAAACGCGTGAAAAATTACAGTGTTTGTAAGAGAATCTAATGTTGAAAAAATTCCGGAGAACGGCTGTTCTGACAAAAAATTATGATTTGTAAACTAAAGCTTCACTCCCAAGAATTCTACTGAAAAATATTGAGGGCGTTACATGCACTGGAAGACCTAGAACTAGAAATGAGTTGATCATATAAATGGTTGCACTGACCATCAAAAGCCAAACAACAAAATTAATCTCAATTTTCTGGTGAAAGTGAAAGCAAATTGGGAATGGAAATCTTACCTCTGCAATCAGGTATTGAGCAACAGCTGGTCCTGTTGACTTGCTCAACAAAATCAAACAACTGTGTAGATTCACTAACAAAAAACCGCCGCTCTATGTCCATCTTGCACTTCTTGGGTGGAGGCTCAGCTGATGAATCCTCCTCGCTTTCGGCTTTACTACTTTTGGAAGATCCAGCTTTTTCATTATCGCTGAGCTCCATGTCGGGAAAAAATTCTGAACCCTCTGATTCAGAGTGTTCACTCGAGGCTGAGTAGGCATTAAAGCAAGCCTCCAAATTTCTTGCAGCTAAGGTTTGTGCCACTGCTTTTTCTGAGCTGTATTCTGACTTGCCGGGGCTGACAAATTTTAGTCACGTCTTCCTGTCTGATTCGGTATGTTCTTCCGACCATTTTGCTGGCAGACTAAAACTTTTCCTTGAACCAGCTCCTTTACCCCGCTTTTCTGCTGATGTTTTGCCCTTAAGAGACACAATTTTCTTCAATTTTACTTTCCCAATCTTCTTCTTCTTCTTCTTCTTCTTCTTCTTACCGGACGCCATGTTGAACACAATCCACTATGCAGGCGCAGTGTGTAACGCATCTACCAGAACTACGTCACACCTAGCAACGGAGTGATAAAACAAAACCCAAGCGGGGTATAGAGAGGTTAGTTTGCATTTCTTTATGTTTCTGCGGGCATTTTAAACAGCGGTGTTTCAAAATGGCAGGCAAGAAGTTCGTAGCGACTGTATCGATGAAGAAAAGGTGATTTTGAGACGAAAACTGACTGTTTAACACCGAAATATCAGTTTTGAGCATGTGGGTAATTCACCCTCATTAATTTTACGGGAATCCATTTTTTGGGAAAATGGTTGAATATTTCTTCGCGATATTTGGCAAATACACCAAGGGCATGTTGATGAACAGATCTGTGTTTGACCAAAGAATGAAATTTCCATACAGCTGAGTTACTGAAGTCCAAAAAGGGATCAAATTACAAAGCCACAAATTGCCCTCTAGAGGGCATATTTCTTGGAGCTGTGTCTTGGTCAAACACAGGATTGTTGCTTTTTCAACCCTGTTTGTGTTGCATTTCATTTTTCCCACAAACTGTTGTGTTTTTTGTGAAATTTGAATTCTTCTCTTTCCATGCCACCCCCAGGGGGTAATTAAAATAACACCTTTAGAGTGGTGTAGCCTTACAATTTTTTTCACTAGTTTTGTTCCCTGTGGACCAAAGAACGATGTTATTGTCTAACATGTAGATAATACTCTTACATTGGATGTCAGTGTATCACCTAAAATATGCAAAATTTGCCGGTGCAGGTACCTTAAGTCAAATAATCCATGCGCTAAACATAATGATCAAGAATTCTGCAATTTATTCGTAAGGCCTCAAGTCTATAATTTTGTAATTTTCTTTCCCGACTTCAACCCAACATCACAAAGACTTGATGACTTTGAAGACTAAAGATATTTATTTATGTATGTTGTGTTTACATGTTAACTCATCGAACGCCAAAGCTTCCGTAAAAACGAACGAATATTGTATTTCATGAAACCTCTTGAACGCTAAAACTTGGCCCTTTCGGCAATAACAAAATTAATATTAAAAACCAAGTAATGTATACGCTATTTATACTTGTTCTATTTACGTATCAATTCTTTGAACACTAAAAGCTTTGGTAAATACGAATGACTTAATGTAAATTACATAAAATATCTGGAACGCTAAAACTTGGCAATTCCGGCAATAACAAATTGACTAAAAGGAAAAAACTACTGTGCACGCTCGTATTTTTTGCAATATATGAAAGTGTCTACTACTATGCGGCAATTGCGCTATACCATTTCTTGCTCTCCTTGAGTTGTTGATAATCTCTTTGATAGTGTCTATTCTACTTGGATTGAGGGCAGGTTTCCCAGCTTCTCGCACATCTCTGCCTACAAGCTCACGTGGCTGAAAAAAATAGCACATCAACAAAACAGCAAAGTTCTTGGCAGAAACTGCCTTCTGTCTTAATGAAAAAATCTCCTCAGGTTGGAATCTGCTCAGATCTGGATTTTCCGATGGGACTGGACTCTGACTGTCCACTGATGGGTTGCCAGGCATCATGTCAAGTGATGGGGTCGGATTCTGGTCCATGGACAGGGTGACCGGAGTCTGGTCCACTACTTCCGGAAGTCGTTCTGATGGCCCACTCAACACGGTAATGAACATGTCTAGTTTTTCCGCAAACTTCTGTTGCTGCATGCTTATCTGATGTAAGTATTTGACGATTTCTGTGGAAGAATCCATAGAACAGTTGGAAAAGTCACTGGACAATCCCTGTCACCTTCGTGAAGCCTGATGAAGCGGAGAGAATGCTTGAACTGGTGACGGTGATAGGATCGGTGAAAACCTTGGTGAAGGCCGATGACGCGGAGAGAATGCTTGAAGTGGTGACGGTGACAGTAGCGGCAAAAATCTCTGTGCTGGTGGTGGCGTGGTTCTTTCTGGTGTAAGTGGCGTAGGTTTGACAGCCGGCAAAGTTACACGTGTTGGTGTAGAAGTGATGGATGTTGGTAAACTTGGAATTGGCTCGACAGGTGTTATGGCAGGTGGCGGGTGAAGTGAATTAACAGTGGCCTGCGATTACACTGGGATGTCTCAAATCCCTCACCAACTAGGATTCGGAACATGGTTAGCTATGTTAATGAAATAGTCATCGAACATGTTTGCAATCGGTGTGTTGTCAGTTGTAATATGCTCATTTTCCAATAGTGCTATGTTATTTGCCTGAAATGAATTTCAGAGTAGAGAAATGGTCAATAAGTGTTCCAAAATTGACTTGGGTCTTGTTTTTGTTTTTCCGATTTCTTCATGAAGTATTGTTTAATCGCTTTGTGCCTCAGTGACGTGCATAAAAGATTTCTGAGAAGCATAATTAGCATCCATTTTATTTTGCATGAAAATCCTCCAAAGGTGATTTCGTCGTCTTCCTCCATTGATCAGTCATTTATGAGACTTAATTCCCACAAACACGCACCTGTTTAACAGGCACTTGCTTATCCAAAATATCTAAATAAAGCGACTGTAGTAAAAGATCTATGTCTGCAAAAGCATTTGTTTCTTTAAGAATGAATTAATGTCCTAGAGCACAGTTATACTTATGTATTTGTTCCTAAGGGAAAAGGTTATTAATAAGACTTGTTACACTTCTATGTTCATTTCAGAGTCGTCGTTTAGGCCCATTCCTGATCAATAATTTCAAAGTCAGCTTCATCTTTGTCATGGTCAAAAGATTCCAATTCACTAATTGCAACACCAGCAAAAACCTCATTCACAGCATTCAGGATAGCCCAAGCGTGTTTTTTGTCCCACACTTCTACAACAGTGTGCACATCTTTTAGAATTTTCAACTTGTCACAGTTGTTCAAAACTTGATCAATGTGGAATTGAGTGAATTCTTGGAGGATGGTGGTTGACACAATAGGTCCACAGGTACTTTCAGACACCAACTTTTTCATATAAATTTCCAACTTTACATTCAAAGATTCCCTCTGTTCCCTGTTTACATTCCTGACAGGCTGATGGACAGCGGTATTGAATTCAGAATTTTCTTCAGTCAGTCAACAGTCAACTTTGTTTTAAAAACAATATTTGATACACTAACCACAGTCCATACAATATCTGATATTCGTAAGGATCAAGGATACACTAGGTACAGACAACAGAACAATAATTATTATAAACTGCCTATGGAGTGGGTGGGAGGGAAATTTGAAATTCAAATAATTATCCTTAAAAAGCTTAATATTGCTTGCTAAAAGTGCACTAAAATACTAAGCTTTAGTCTGATAATATCAAAAATTAAGCAGTAGTCTACATGCTAGAGTGTTGTATTACAACTGGTTCTCAGTAGTCCTGTAAAATATTCCACACATACTGTGATTAAATGATCAATCATTGGCAATAATGGATTGCCCCAATGATCAGTTGTCAATTATAATCAAAGAAATCTCTTTATATTAATTTCCTCAAATTTTTGTTGCAAGGTGTGAATAGAATATGAACACTTGTCTTGATAAAATAATAATAATAATAATAATAATAATAATAATAATGAGTATTTATTTCATCAAAAGATAAAACTACATATCTTATGTTACAATAATACATAGCAGGGGAAGGCTTGATAAGTAGTTCATACAGTATAAGATGTGACATTGATGTGTCACATCAAATTTGGCTCATCCGCGGTGAAAGAACCCGTAAAACTCACATTCTGGTTTCTCGGTCTCTATCTATCTTAATCTCTCTTGCTCTGGTGGCAGATTAAGGCTGTGGTGTTTCTGACTGCATGCGTAGTGATGTACTGCCAAACTTGGTGATATTTGGCTGATGCAAAACCTTTGCAATCTCAGTTGGTGGGTTGATGGATTCCTGAGATCTGACTGACTCATTTTGCTGTTTTTTCCTGTTTGTGTTCTTCTTTAAACTCGTCTGTCTTTGAACAGGGACTGGCTTCTTTCAGAGACTAAGATCGAATCGGCTCACTGTGGCCAATCAGGCATTGCGATAGTTTGATACATTCTTGCTTGGCTCTAATGACAACTCTTCTGTTGCAAATTAACCATGTGAACTTATACTCAAAGTCCAAAACATCTTGGACTTGTTTCATTGAATGTCACATCAGATTTTTTTGAGCATGACATCTTTTCTGTTAAAAAAAAAACTGAACAAGACTTAGCATTGTCCTGATAAATCAAAAGCTTGAATAGAGAAAGTAGCACTGATCTAGGTGGAATTTAAAGTTTCAAATATCGTTCTTCTAGAGAGCAAATAAAAAAAAAAAACAAACAAAAAAAAACCCACAAGACTTTTATTCACACATAACAAACTCCTGCCCTGCAAATTAGCAAAGAAATGCTATTTGAGGCAGGGAAAAGTAATTGTATTAAAAATAATGAAGATTAGTCAACATAACAATAAAGAAGCTAACCTGTAGAGTTACAGGTATTATTTTAAAGCTTAATGTGGAATAATATTGGTTGCAGACACGGGATTAAATGAAATATGTAAATATTTTAACATTTTCATTTGCTTAATATCACAAAGTATTTGGGGAACATCAAACTATCTTTTTTTCTATTAATGAATAAATATCCACCAGTGATGGGGAAACCCGTTGGCGGACAATCAATTTAGACTTAAAATTGTCAGGATTTTTCAGCAAAGCTTAATGTCAGCCTGTGCACTACTGTAATAAACAAGTTATGCGTAACATTACCTACTTACAAGCAATAAATAATTTTGATAGCGGCTTCCTTAAGGCAAGTTTAAGAATTAGCTAGATAATAATAGATATTCCAGTAATAAGTGTCTGGCAGATAACAAATTAGAATTATAAGGTACACATAATATAAAAGTGTACCAGCAACTGCAACTTTTCTCTCCCTTTCAGCCTTAGCCAAATCTGCCATAATATTCTGTGCTAGTTGAACTTCCAAGAGGTTAACTTGATTGCCATGGTGACTTGTAGTTAAAGTAAATTTCCATATTAGCCTGTTTGAAAATGTCTCATTGTCCAGAAAGAGATAAGAGGATTGAAAGATGAATAATAATAATAATAATATTAGCATATTATCATTCAGTCCAAAATCTCCTAACTTAGTATTTGGTCCAGTGCTTCTGTAGATAATCCAGTAATAGGTGAGTGGCAGATAGTATATCAGAAAAACAAGGTACACATGGAATGCACCAGCAACTGCAACTTTTCTCTCCCTCACAGTATTAGCCTTATCTCCTATATTATTCTGTGTTATTTGAACTTCCAAGACATAAATTTGATTGCTGTGGTGACAGTACATTAAATTTCCATAATAACCTGTTTGAAAGAAAAAAATGTCTCATTGTCCAGAAAGAAATAAGAGGATTGAGAGATGAATTGAGGTATAACAGCAAATTAACATTAAGGCTAAACTGCTTTAATGCAGCATTTGGTCCAGTACTTCTACAGATAATTCAGTAATAAGTGACTGGCAGGTAACAAATCAGAAACACAAGATACGTAAAGAATGTACCAACTTAATCTTTTCTCTCCCTCACAGCATTAGCCTTATCTCCTGCATTAACCTTTGCTATTTGAACTTCCAAGACATGAATTTGATTGCTCTGTCTACATTTTCATATAATTTCTTTTTCCGCGGTTTATGTATGTCAGCGTTAACATAATCTTGCGGTTCACCACTATCGTTCGTTAAACATCCATATTCTGACCTTTCAATGGGAAGCAATTCCATATAAACAGAAGGCAGGACTTCTGCATCACCTAAGATTGAAAATGGTTGGAATCGTATCAAAATTGAGGAGAAAAAGGAAGAATAGATATCTGAACAAATTAGTGTAAGTCTGTTGTTTTTGTCTTATTTTTTTTTTCTTGTGGGTGGAAGGTTCTGTCGTCATTACAAAACAAGCCCACAGACATCAGACATAACAGAAGAGGTTTATTATTACCTTTTTTAATTCATTTGTTCATGTATTTATTTTTATCCTGTTGTTTGAAAATGTCTTATTGTCCAGAAAGAGATAAGAGGATTAAGAGATGAACTGAGGTTTACCAGTGAATTAGCATTAAGTCTAAACTGCGTTAACGCAGTATTTGGTCCAGTACTTCTGTATATAAATCAGTAATGTGAAGGGTAGGTAACAAATCCTTGCACAACTCTACTATGTGCCCTGTTGATCCACAACTGCAACACAATTTGCTCTTTGAAGCTTTTCTGGGCTGTGTGATCTTTACCATAAGAAATTGGCATTGTTTTAAATTCTTGGTCTGTTACTCCATCTGCCCTCCTTGGTGATTTTGGGGTTTCTTGAGGTTAATAACACAGTGAAATGTGATGAGGTGGCTGCTTTGAAGTTATGTTCCAAGTATATTAAATATGGATACCACATAAAGAAACTAAGTGGTTATTCTCATATCTGATGTTTCCATGGCATTGATTACGTGAAAATGACAGATGATAAAGGCTGCAAACAAAATCTATCTGTTTAGACTACAAAGGTGCTGTGAGTCTCTGTCAAACTGAGTAAAGTATGTTGTCTCTTTTGTGCCCCAAAGCAACTCTTGTCTGGAGGAAAAGAAACAAAAGCTATCACAGCTGATATATACCAGTATGTGTGAGAATGCCACTTGTTTTTCAAAACTCCTGATTGTTGGTGATTTTCTTGGCCTTGTGTCTTTCAACTAAGTTATATGTCACTCAGCTTATCCACTAAAGCGATCTAAGTTACTGTTTATCCCAATGAATGAACTACCGCTAAATTTACAAAACTACAAACTCAGATCAGTGCATTGTCCACATGGGAGCAACTGGAAAAGCATCGTAGGCACTTATAGACCTTAAAATAGAGCTTAATCATTAATGCAACAACTGCTGTCTTGAAGTGATTATTCAAACCATGGATAAAATAGTAATATTAATATTTTATCTCTGACACTGACAACAAAGCATTAGCATGATAAGTTTTTGTCACCAGGCCCACTCTATCTTTTTACAACAGCATTTTTATGGCCCAGGGTTTGCGAATACTCTAAAATTTTTAAGGTGACTCCACTGAGGTTACAGAGGGAGTCACTTTGACTCCAGAAGGGCATACATATTAAGTCAGGTGGGAAGGTCAAGGAAGTGGAGGAAGTCAAATTACTGCATCTGTGGGTAGGTGATAAAGGCTTGAAAATTTACAACACCACGTTTCCTGATCTAAAGCAGCCCTTGGACGTGAATTGGAATTGGTGTGGTTTCGCTGTAGGTAGCTATGGTTTGACTTAGCTTATTTTTGCTGGCCATACATCATATGAAGGCTTGGTAATGTTTACCTTCACCTTACGTAGTAATCTTAATTTGGGCTTTGGTACTTTCTTCTGCCTTTGCAAGGTTATAAACTTGCTTGATGGTCAGAGTACATGTATTTCCCAGCACAATTGCATCTCTGCATACCTTATTGCCAAATGCAAGGGTGTCCCTTGAGGTACTTTTAATGACAGTCGTTTCGTATCTGTCATCATCAATATTTTTATCTTTAAATCTTGATAAGATCAACGTCAATATAGTAATTTGACTCACTTAAAACTGAACTTGATAATGTTATGAAACACACAACATTCAAGTCCCGAAATGAAATTCTTGCAGTTTTTTTGCTTTTGTTTGTGGAGACAGGTCTTGCATGTTATTGTTAAAGTTTCTTGCATGTCCTGCATTTTCACTGAGTATGCGATTTTTCTTTCGGCAGTCTATTCTGTTAAAGCCACTTGCTGTATTGTAGATCAAAGTAAAACCAAATGCTGTGTTTCAGATCAAGATTGTTAAGTATAAAATCCTCTTGGCGTGCTTGCTTTTCTGCCTTGCTGGGAAATCAGCCCTGCAAAAGAATAATCCAACTTGTGATAAGCTGAGGAGTTCCACCATTGCTTAGGCAAAATAACATAAGGGTTAAGGATTCCTTGTTGCCAATTGGTGTAGCCCAGATTATTTTGCAGCCATGCTTTCAATGGGAAAAGCACATTACCATTGATGATTTGAAACAGCTCCCTTCGTTCCATAATTGCTCCAGGTTTGCTCAGCAAATGAAACTTGCCTCAGTACTCATCAGGGTTGCCATTTTTAAGAATGGGAGTGTCCTGAATAATATAGAGAGGGACATCTCAGGGCTCAAATTTTTTTGAAGTCTTTATTCCCGTTAGCTAGCTGGCATTCCTACTTTACTAGCCCAGTGCCTGAGAGCTGTAGCCCAGTACACATTTGTAATGAGCAGTCTTTTCTTCTGAGAGTGCGAAGATCTATTGTTTCTGAAAGAGCACAAGTCTCGTCGGGCCAGAAAGCCCATGTTAACAGCAAGAAAAGTATTGTGTTTCCAAAAAAAAGATAGTATATTAAATATATCGATAAAAAATCTGAATTTCTATCATTTCCTTCAATTTACTGTGGGAAAACCAGAGTTGATAACCATTTGATTATTTTGTAAACAATGTTCCCATGAGTTGACGATACTCTTTCTTTGATTGGAGTGCTTTTCCTACAGGCGTTCTTTCAATTCAGTTGTTGCCCCTTCTTTTGATTCGTGTTGTGTTCGCATTGCACAAACTTTATGCTCCTGTGAATGCTGATGACCCATCAATGGATCATGCTAAAATTTGATGTAACACTAAATAAAGGGATGGATTTGTCTTCTAAGGATGGATATTGGCGACACATTTGCCAAAACATCACGCCTTTTTCAATAAAAAATAAAGCAAGCATGTTTGTTAGTATGTATTGGGCATTGATTTTTATCTTATCTAGTGGCTACTAAAAGAGCCAATTTTTTTGGGAGATCAACCCAGTGAACTTAGTTACAGGATATAATTCGTCAATGTGGTGTAGCCTGTTCTCGAAGCATTTCCTGGGTGCAGTCACGGCCAGTTGAATTGGTTGAGGTAACCTGAAAGTTTCTTCCGCTTTTTCTTCATTTGGTTCCAAAGATCCTCTATGGTGTAAGTGCCAGCCCCCGTTGTAGGATCCACTTTGAATGTTGAAAGAATGTTCCAGCTCTTTTAGATCGCCTCTTCCAACACTGCCTTACTGGAAATTCCCATATTAAACCATCAGCGACATTTTGCCTTTCTTTCAACAGTATCACAAAACCACAGTCACACCTAGACTCAGAGGCAATCAAGCCAAATTCAGCAAAGAACTCAAAGATGGAATGGAAACTTCCAATTGCAGCAAGTACCTTGCTGCGCTGCATGATTGAAACAAGGTTAATGGATAAATTTTCCACCGCACTTACAACTTCTGTTGAATCAAAGGTAACCAATGAAGAAATACATGTAGTTAATGAATGCAGAGGCACATCCCAACAATGGATCGAATTGCTAGAAGGTGTCCAATGTGTTGTGAAGAGTCTTTTTGGTGAAGGTAATTTCCTTCATCCTATCCTTCTTCTTTAGGTCCTCAAATTTTGTAGGCCAAGGTGGAGCATGTTGTCATTTCTCAAGATACTAAGATGAACGTTCGAGTCAAACACTGTCAATTTTTTTTCACTGGACTCACTATCTTGCTCCCTAATCCTGTCAATATTGGTGTCTTTTTTAGGAGTATTAATCAGGAGTATTAAAGTGGATAAAAGTAAAAAAAAAAACAATAATATTAGCATAAACTGTGAAATCCATTTACTCACCCATTCTCTTAGGGCAAACAGTTGCTCTTAAAATTGGCGCACTCTTTCCAAGAACTTGAGGTTTTGAGGCTTGGCCAACCAGCACTGTTGGCAACATCCTAGTAAAGACTAGCCTGAATTTCATCTGATTACTTTGAATCGTTATTACTCCCTCAGTAACGTCTGAATCGACCTGCCATTAATGCTGTCCAGTGATGTCACTCACTACCCGAAAGCCAGGTAGTGATTTTGATTGGTTGATTGCCTAAACATTCGCATAATTAATGTATCATTAACGGCTGGTCGATTCAGACGTTACTGAGGGAGTAATAACGGCTCGAAGTAATCAGATGAAAGTCAGGCTAAGTAAAGATCGACGTACTCCACTAAAATTGTTTCCTTATTGGACCATGGTCTAGCACGCTTGGCGGTAAAAACCTGATGTTGACTCTATTATTTTTCTTGTGAGTTTCTCGTCTTGTTTTCTTGCTTTAATCTGGAGAAATGGATTTTTTCGTTGGCATTTATTTCATAAGTTATTTACCGTACCAAAGGGTTTATCCAAATGAGAAGCTCTAAGCTGGTACTACAGTAGTTAAGTTGATGAGTGTTGAGCTCCTCTGTGATATGAAAATAAGCACAAAATAAATTGTAGTGTGTTATAAACACAAAGCTTTGTGTGTTTCAGACATGATCAATGGCTACAAAAGTGCCTTCCATAATATTGATTATATGTGCCTCCACATAGTAAAGCATGTTAAGACTAAGGAGTACAGCATGGCTCTGTTTCTTGCCCAGGTCAAACCAACTTGAGCAAACTCTTGTAGGCAGCCATAGAGGCTACTAGATGGCCCCATATGTAGTGCAAATCAGGCACCCTCGATATTTGCACTCACCTCGAATGCAGTGGTACAGAACACCACTATTACAAACACATCCACATTACAAAAGTCTCTTTCAATAACCCCTTTCGCTGTATGGTGTGTCTATGATGTATTGTGAGGAGCCATTTTAGTTAATTTTTTTTCCAGTAGGAGAAAAGAAACCTGTTGACTTTTTCATCAAGGTTTTTTACATTTGTGGTTTGGCATCTCAGTGATCAACAGATGACACAGAAAACCCTATATTCTCTTTGCTGACAACTGTTGTTAGCTGAATACAGCCTTTCATTGCCAAATCCTCAATGAATGATGTCTTATTCCATACACCCTTTCATTATTAATTGTTGTTTAAAACCAATAAACTTGAAGACGTAACAGTCAGAATGGGATGCTGCCATGTTTTCAGTGCTTTTCGTGTCAGGGTGTGGTTTATGTCTGCTACGTGAAGATTCATTAGACTTAAGCGCAGATTAGATCCGTTTAAATTCACTGTTCAGACTTTTTATTTCTTTCTTCAAAGCTCAATAATAATAATAATAATAAATACATTAATAAATAAATAAATTCTTGTATGATGCATTTACAAAGCTCAATGCGCCTTACAATGATTTGAAAAAAGAAACCTGTTGACTTTTTCGTCAAGGTTTTTACATGTGCCCTTTATGAAAGATTAATAGCTTTGGTGATTTGACTTCTCATCAATAAACCACTGAAATGGCATCTCAGTGATTAACAGATGAGATAGAAAACCTTATTTTCTCTTTGCTGAGAACTGTTGTTAGCTGAACACAGCCTTTCATTGCCAAATACTCAATGACAGTCTCCCTTACAACTTCTATTACTGTTGTCATCAATCCAATTATAGGGGAATTACAGCTAATGGTGATCACAGTAAATGAATCCCTAATAAAGAACACTTACAATATGCTCACCAAAACTGAGAAGTCATTAACAATGACCATTTGCATGTAATAAAACAGAAGAATTTAATTGATGATTGACTGTAAAACTAAAATGGAAGTAAAGATAAAAATGGGTCTTAAATGAAATATACTAGTCAAGATAAAACAACAATTGTAAAGCAAGATGTTGAGTACAAATGAGTAATTTTAAACTACTAAGCTCAAGACATGAAAATTATAAAAGATGAAAGCAAAAGGAAAGGAAAAAAAAATCTTAATTACCTTACTGACTAGTGTCCTTTGTCTTTGTTTTAGATTGCAAACAATATACTGTCACACACAATACTTAACACCTTCGTAAATATAATCTCTATAAAAATAGGGGCTTATATGATTAACTCGCAGTTAGAGGTATCACTCTTCAAAATTAGCTTTATCTCTGCTAACTGATTACACTCCTTCCAGAAGGCATCTTACATAATCCAATCATCAAAATTAACCTTTTTCTAGTTTTCTTGTCTTATTCCATACACCCTTTCATTATTGTTGTTTAAAACTAATAAACTCGAAGATGTAACAGTCAGAATTGAATGCTGCCATAGATGTTTTGCGTGCTTTTCGTGTCAGGGTGTGGTTTGTCTGCTACGTGAAGATTCATTAGACTTAACCCTTTACCCCCTAAGGGAGATAATAGGGACATGTATCATCTTCCCTAAGGGCTTTTGGCCATAATTGAGTGATCTGAGGAGCCTTCAGAAAAAGTTCTCTGTAGCCAAAACTAAGCACTACTCGGACACATAATGCAGACAAAGTTGTAGCAAAATCAATGAGGTATTTAATTCTCATGAGAAATGTACAATATTGACAGTCACTAACAAGACAATAAACTCAATTTGTGAACATTTGTTTCTGTCTCGTTCCAACCACCATGTTTTCTTCTACAGAAGATAAAAGCATTCTATTTACAGTAAATATTTACACATTCAGGAAGTCAAAAACTACAAAACTTTAACTTACATTTCAATTTCATTGCCTGAATAATGCCAGCTGGTTTTCCAAGAACAAATTGACAAAGTTTGAATGCAAAATACATCGATCGTGAAATTCAAATTGCGCGCCACTGTCACAAATCAGCCTTGGAGTGATTTGGAAAGCACTCCAGGCAAATGCGTTTCGCACAAGCCGTACAAGCCATTGGGCACCACTTTGTCGCATACGCTTTAAGCAACGCTTGCAGCATCCTTTAGAGGTTTCTACCGGCCAGTGTCCACCAGTCAAGAGCCCTTCCGAAACACTAAGTGAACGCAAACTAAATTCCCCGACAAGTGTCTTTGCTAACTCGACGCGAAACTGCAGTTGTGGTCTAGTGGGATGATTTTCCGCTTCAGTTTCCAAAATGTGAGCATTGACAATGCTCACATCGACGAGAAACCACAACAAAGAACGCCACCACTTGCGCGACTTGCGGCCCACGGCATAATAATTTCTTTGCTGGTCGTTCAAATCAACACCTCCCATGTTCTTGTTGTAAGAAATGGCGGCAGGGACGGTGGGAACTTGAATAACGGTTCCATCATGTTGTTTCCTGTTCACTGTTTGGTCGCCAACTGGATTCGATTGAGTGCTCAGAAAACAAACTAACTTAGTGTCTTTCCAAACTGATGCAACTAGGTTTCCGTGACGCACTTCGGCTGTTTGTTGTGACAAACTATTTGGAAAGCCTGGGTGATTGGAGCGAATTGTTCCACAGCAAATCACAAGCAAGTTTTATAGATGTGAAAAAATTGTCACAGAACATGTGGTGATGCTTTCCAATGAATGGTTCACTAAGTTCTCGCATAACGCGGTAGCCAAGTCTGTGCTCTGTAACGCTGCCATCTTGTCTTCCTGTATAAACTTGCAAATTACAAACATAGCCGTTCGATGAATCGGTGCATTCCCAGACTTTGATTCTCCTCTTTATCGGTTTCAATTGAATGTATTGTTTCATGCTCAATTGCCCTTTGAAGGCAACCATTGCTTCATCCACGGAAAGATTCTGACAAGGCCAATATTCTTCTCGACAGGCTTTCACAACAGCTTCGAGGAAAGGTCGAACTTTGAACAGTTTGTCGTGATTTGGTTGACCTTGCGGTATCGCATTTTCACTGTTGTTAAGATGAAGGTACTGTGTCAGTTTATCAAATCGGTCTCTGGGCATTACTCTCTTTATGAAGGGTTTCGTATTTTGACCAGTACAGAGATGTCTTGGGAAGGTTGTGATACCCGAACAGCACGTGGAGGCCAAAGAATGCTTGCATTTCTTCACGGCTTGTGTTTTGCCACTTTGGGTCTGGCTTTCGCGCAATGCACTGTCTAGCATAACGGTTTGTTTCTTCCATGATCATGTCAAACAGTTCATCGGGAATAAAGAGCTGAAAAAAATCTTTAGCGGTGCCATCTTTGGCAACTCCACTAACAGCTCCAGCTCTCGCAGTGAAAGGTGTTACATTTACGGGAGCTCGATCACGACTCCATCCGATTTCGCCATCTTCTTCATCATCTTCTGAGAAGTCTAAGTCTGAGAGATCTTCTGTGTTAACACTAGAAACAGAGATGTCACTTTCATCACCGCTTTCTGCAATTTCGCTGCTGCTCTCGCTTTCCAAATCACTTGCATCTGAAGGCAGAGACGCCACCATTACAGAACTCCCGACTGACATTTCGGGAACGGAGAGTTTTTGCGCGTGTGTACTAGTACCAAATCTAAGTCAAATGTCTTTTCACGACATTTCTTAGTTTTTGCACAAAGTATTTCAAAATTACTTAAACCTGCTGCAGATGAAACGGGCATTTAGTTTGATGGATAGTGTTTGTGCGTTTCAAAGATGTGCTCTTTTGAAATAATTTAACTACGAAAGTAGCCGGGGGCCATGCTCTGAGTAGCTGCGGGAAATCCCCGGCCCCCGGTCCTTATTGACAACCCTGTATCATGCCTGTAGTACGACCACGCCCAAATATACGCTCCCACAGCGTCTTGTTTCCATCAAACTTCACCTCATTCATACTCAATCACTATGCTTATCTCTTACTCTACTACATCCACACATATTACATCGTATACCCAGGAGGAGGCTGACTATGCATATTTGTTGGTGGCTTATGCAACTTGTTGGAACAATGATGGTGTAACTTGTATAGGCATGAATGGGAATGAGACAGATTCAGGATGCAGAGTTAACTAAGATTGTAAAGGGAAGAAGGGGAAAGAGCAGGTTGACCATAGAAGGAACACACTGTTGGAGGTCGTCCAACAAGGAATTCCCTCAAGGAATTAATGACTGACTAATGGCAGAATTGCATTAGCTGATCTTAACTGGTATCTGTGTTACAAGTTCTTCATACTCTTCCACAACTGTCGAAGTTGAGACCGGTCCATCACCGTGCAGGATCTGTTTCTCCTGTGCTGAATCCCTTAGCTTGGCCATGACCTCATTATTGAATTGGACACCTTCCCAGACATTGAGCCTGATAATGTTTCATCTACAGTAAACTGCCTTCACAGAAGGAACAAAACAGGTTTGTTGAATTACGTGTGGAATGTGGACTTTTATTCTTACGCTGTATGGCTTGGATTTCCTGTGATTCTACCTTGGCTTGCTATCCTCTCTTAATCTTTCGTAATTTTTATTTCTTCACGGCCACTTTAACTATTCCAGCAATTGTACCCTTAATTGCGGCAAACACCATAGCACAAAACTTGCAACACTCCTAGAGAAGTAAAGTTATTATTGGATGCATTAGATCACTTGTTGACCATACATTTAAATACTAGTTATGCTTTGGACTAGTATTTTGTGAAGTGAGTGATTTTCTTTGTATACACTCCTGCTTGTATACAATAGGAAGTCTTCACTTTCCTTTACCTTTCCTATTTTTCTCGGTGGATCCATCCTTGTCTGATGACTGAAAGTGTCTTTCCTGTAAAGGTGAATCTGCAAATTGTCAGCAATTAGAGACTAACCAAAGCATCTTGAACCAAACTTACTAACTTGGGAGTTTTTCCTCAGAATTATATCATGCATAGGCGTAACATCTAAGCCTTTGCTCCAAGTTTGACGGTTTATAAATTATTTACATATTAGATTATGCAATGTTATATTACATCCAACAGTCATGTAATATGCTGTTTATTATTCAGAAATAGGTTGGTGAAAATAAGATTATCTTTTGTAATCACTTTCATTTTAGTTTGTCTTTTGTAAACACCTCCTTCTCAAGAAAAAGCATCATTTCTTTCCGTGTCTGACCACTTGGCATTCTTATTCCAAGACTTGAGAGTTTCTTTACAAGGTCATGGTCTTCACCTCTGAAATTTTATTAGCTTTCAGAAAAAGATAGAGCTGCTATTATTGCCCTCTTTCTGGGTATCTAAACGAAATTAAGAATAAAGTAAGATTATCTTTAAAATCGCTTTCCTTTTACCTTCTCTTTTGTAAACACTTCCTTCTCAAGAAGAACCATCATTTGTTCTGTCCATGTCTGACCACTTGGCACTTGTATTACTCCATGAGTTTGGAGTTCCTTTATCAAGGTCATGGTCTTCACATCTGAAATTTTATTGGCTTTCAGAAAAAGTAGAGCTGCTATTATGGCCATGTTTGTGGGTATCTGAACAAAATCAAGAATAAAAAACAAAGTAAGTTTAAATGGAGCAGTCAAAAAGCAAGACGTGAAGATGTTATTGAACTTTGCAGAGGATGCCAGCCGGATCTTTGTCACTGGGGTCGACCAAATGTAAATATCTGCCCAGTGTTCTGAAAAGCGCTGTTTGGGGATCGTTTTCTTGAACCCTTCCACGCCAACAAAAATATCGGAATCCCAAAACATATCTATTTGAGGAAGACTATGGATTCCCATATAAATATTCAGTCCAAGATAGGCTGAAATTTCCGCACAACTAGTTGTGAAGGTTTCATCTCCTTTCGAACGGGCGTAAGCAATCGAACAATTTCATCCAGATAATCATCGTCGATGAAAAGATTCAAAAAATCTTTCGATGTTGCACAGTCACTAAGATCTTTAGTTGCACCATGATGAGCAGAGAACTCTTCGATGTCAATTTCTCCCAATACGTTCGACCGTCGAAACCGAACATCTTATTGTTTATTGTTTTATTTGCCATAAGTTGTACAAAACAAAAAAAATCTAAAATTATTATTCAAACTCTTCTAATTAAACTAATTATTTAAACTCTTCAGTTTCGCCTGCGCTGTCGCATCCTCGGAGACCCAGGGGCAGCTTGTTTTCGGGCCCCAGTCAGAAGCCAGAACGGCCTGGTAAGACATTTCCCAAGGGGCTCTTCTCGCCGTTCTTTACTTTTCTTCATGCCTTATTTTACCGCCCGTTTAGACTTTCCCTCGCCCCCTCTATCTGCCCCTGGGTCTCCGAAGATGGCAATATCGTCGCTTTCTTCTTCCTCCTCTCCTTCGTCTTTGCTAGCGAAAAGTTCAGCATCAGAGTCTGTCCCCCTTTCATGTGCTCCTAAGTCCATAAACTCCTTGATTTCTCAATCTACATCTTCATGCAAATCTTGCTGAAGCCGTCTCTGTCGTCTCATTCATGAAAAAACAGCAGTAGGTTCTGGAACTTTTAGCTCATTTTATAATGCTGCTTGCCTCAAGAAAGTTCCCTTAACATCTACACATGAAGGCCTGTCTGGCACAATCTGCGGCTGATCCATTAGGTGGATTCATGGCAAATACGCGTTTTGTGGTCGAATTTGCTGCCGTATGTGAGTTCTTCAACTGATACTAATCTTTTAAGAATGGACATTAAGTGAAAACCGTTCAAAAGGAAGCCATAAAAGTCGGTTATGATGTATTACAAAGTAATGTGTTTAAAGCGATGGTGTTGCAGACCCCACAAAAGCACAGTCTCCAAGTGTTTCGGGTAGAAGGTCAACGGATTGACTGTCGCTAACAAATGTGACATATGTTCTAACGTGTCAAGATCAGATGGTAACGAATTGCCAAATGCCTCTAATGATTGTCATTGATCTTTCTAATGGATGACTAATGGATAGCTAATGGTCTAGACTGTTTAAAAGAATATCGCAAGTGTGCGTTTTCCAAAAGAAGGTCACAATTTCTAACAACCAGCAGCTTCTCAGCCTCAGCCTTGCTGAAAATGCTGGACCATAGAAAATGACCGCTTTGTTTGGAAACCCCGGGTCTGACCACTTTAGTCACTTTGTAAGCTGGCATGCAGAATGTGTGCAAAAAGAAAGGTTTCAATCACCATCTGATCTAAATTCCTGTATTTTTGGAATATGCATTCTTTAAACTTCTCCTTTCTATGTAGAGAGCTATAGTTTGGCTTCATAAAGGTATTATTTTCACTTCTTTGCGAATGTGTCATGCATTTATGATGCAATGGTAGTGATGTGTTTTTCTCTTAACCCACCACGAGTTGCACTTTCAAGGGGCCCTATTGTTTGTGCGTGCTGCCACATTGTGGCGAATGGTGTAAACGGTTTGGTTGATGAAGACAAAATGAATAGTACTCAATGAACTTCTTTGGAATCATAGGAGATAATTAAAAGTACAAAGAATTGATTTTAGTCATCTTTTCCATCACTCCAGCAAACATCATTACACTTACAAGTAACCTCAGCTTATGACAGAAAACGTGACACAGTCACGGTATTTTTTATTTTTTTGGATGTTGTTATACTTAAGAGAAATTCTTCCATAAACTGAAAAGTAAGCTGTTGGCTTGTTTTGTAAGCAATATTGAATGAGAAGTATACAGACACGAAAATCGTTAAGGCCTTAAGGTAAGAACTTGTACTTAACTCCAGGAACATTTTTGTGTACTTCAAAGCAGAATTGGGTTTAATCATCGTCTGGATCTTTTCTACCAAACAGGTGCATGTTGTTTTTGAGTACCAGTTGAACAGGATTGATAGATGATCCACTCTAATACCTTACCCTGACATTTTTAGAGAAGCAAGCAAACCAAAAAGACCGGATAACAAACAAAGGCTTCTCGGTTCTGAAAAGGTGTTTTGAAAGCGGAAGAAGAAAGTACAGAAGTTTTAAAATATGGGAAAAACAGCAGCTGGAATATTGAATGCTTACAATAACTCCTGTATCAGAAGGAAGTCAGCAATAATTCAATGAAACCCTTTTATTGCTCTTAGTGATCCAATAACAGAGTAAACAACGTATACATGTGCACCAGAACTGAGCTTGCATAGTTGTTTACAATTGATCATGCATACATGATTAAACCAAAGAATTTATGTGATGAATGTCCGTCAAACTAAAATGCGAATAACAACAGTGTCCTAAACAAAATCAGCAAGCAAAAACAAAACAATTGAAGGCAAGATACTGAGTACTACAAATGACATAGTAATCCTTAACATAACATCAAGTACAAGAAATTATATTATTGCGTGAAAGCAAACAACCCTCTCACAAATAATCACTCTCAAAACAGGGGGCGTATCCAATTATCTATGAGTTCTAAAAACACGAGGTGTATCTGATTATCTATGAATCACGGAAATGATCAACTGGCAATTACACCTTTTAAGGGGTGAACATTGAAAGACTAATATTCAATATTTCTGTAAAGACTATTTAAGCTAGTTCAAATGAGCTGCACAGTTGAAAACGTTACTCTAAGACAGTAGGGAGTAAGGAAAGATTGGGCAGATGTTTGCAATGTACAAATAAGTACTGTTGGTAGAAGGGCCTATAATACAACAAAGCATCATTATGCTTATCATTATAACTTTCCACTTCTTTTGGGATTTCATAGTGGACTATAAATTCAACATCTGGATTGTCAACTCCCATGCCCCATGCCCAATGCACAAGTGGGAATAATTTGAGGTATTCTGGTATCACTCCTTGTAAAAGAAGATTCCTCTTGCTGTGAAACGTGCTTTACAGATCACTGCATGGGCCCCCAGAATTGTCTCTGGATGCAATAATTGTTTTTTTGGCATCTTACATCTCTCGGCCTTAAAGTCCTTGACAAGTGATTAAAAGTGTCTTTTAGTTATTCATTTGTGTGTAGTTTTGTTTACACCCCTTTTTATTTCGTGAGTGTTGTTTACAACCTTAGCATTCTTCATCTGCAGTGAAATACCTTACACATACACAATACCTGTATTTAGCTAAAACTGTTCAAGGCAGGCAGGCTGAGTACTCCACATACTTGAAGTCTTACATTTTAGGAAGTTAAAAGGGATTCACATGGCAGGCTTAGGCCACCAAAAAAATATGCAAATTAGCTTACAGTGAATTGTTAAGTGTGACTAAAGAAAGCGTTTTGCAAGTTTAGGTGTTGAAAACATCGCCCCAGAGCGGATCTCTAAAATATTCAGTGACAAATGTTTACACCTTTTTGTCATAAGAGAAGCTAAAATCCGTTAAAATTAAATGTTATTCACCCGAGGTTTTCCAGATATTTTGCCCTATATAGCCCAAGTGGCAAGCAGCTTATCTCATGAGGAATTTTTACATGCTTGCACAATTCTCCAACACTGGAGTAAATATGCATAGTAACGTAATTTGCCACTTCAGTGATTTACAACTTACAACATAAGTTTTGTGTACTGGAATCTTCAACAATCCAAAGCTGAGTTAAACGTTGATATCACATTTTATTCACCTAGGCACACATTAAAGTTCTGAGAGATAACTCTTTTGAGACATCAATGTCATTTTATTCAGATGATCAAGACAAACAGGCCTGGCAATAATTAAAGTAGCAAAACGAAAAAAAGGAAGGATAAATGCCACTTTTTGTTCATTGCAGCACATCTCGCTGTTATATTTACAACACTGCATTAATTGATCAATGGGCATTCTCCCGGATTGTCCAAGATTGCTTGTTTAGCAACTTTCGGTGAACTCGCAGTTGCTTTCAGCAGCAACCAAGAATAAGCACAATTCTTCCTAAAGAAAAGATGTCAGATTTTATGGGCTGCTGACCACCACCCGCTACAATTTCTGAAGCAATGTGCGGGTAGCGTCTCCCGTACAATTTCATAACTTGACGCGTTCAAAGACAACAGTGGTTTTGGATCCAAAATCATCCCAGAGTCACAGGTTTCAGCATTACTGATTTGCTAGAATGCAAAATACGGTAATCAGAAAGAGAGATATATATTTTTTCATATATATTTTATATATATATATATATATATTTTTTTTTTTTTTTCTTTTACAAATGTCTTGATAAATTCAGCCCAATCTCCTCCCTCATCTCAGTTCAGATGTACAGTGAACCGAGAAACAACATCTAACCCTACCCATTTCACTTCCATTCTTAGGGGTTCGCATATTTCTCTCGCATACCATGTGGCACGAAATTTTGGCAGCAAGAAAAACCAATCTGTCCAAGAAAATATGGGATCAAACAAGGTTAACAATACACTCTCTACTTGGAATCACATGGGGTCGACACCAACTGTGGTTTTCATTTTAAAATATTTTTAGGTGGTGTTGGTCGCCTTTGTCTAGAATCGCTGCTTATGGTTACCGGTAATAAGAGCTTTGGACTCCCTTAATGTCTTCTTAGAGTAAATTCGCCTGAGAGAGTGTTTAGGAGACAGATCTAAACAATGTGAGCCATTCATAATTCAAAATAATAATAATAATAAGGCAGTAAATTGAAGCGCGCACTTAAATGCATAAGATGATCGAGCATGAATTTTTGTGGATGATCATATGCTAGATGGATCAGTCAAAACAGCTCCTACTAAATGTTTAACAGAAATCTTCATTATGTCTAATCCGTGTGTATAGTGAAACCAGGGGTGTAGTAATTGGTCGAAATTAAGTCGAAATAATAAACACTTACAGATACACATACGGATTATCCAGCTTTGTGGTTCTTAAGATCTTGAAAAACGACACAGAGAACATACCAAAAGAATCCGTCTACATGATTAGCGTCCCTCTCTGTTAGTTCCATGGCTCAATTACACTGGGCACAATTGAGAGGGTCTGCAAGCAACTGACGCCTTTGAAGCCATTGGATCAATTCTGTTCGTGGACCTCTTTCTAAATTGATGGGTTCATTCAAATTCATCTCTTAAACTCAAAAGGAGGCCTTTGACGTGTATGCAACGTAATCGATGAATAATGAATATTTAGATTACTCTGAGAGCGGCAGTGCTACTCTTTAATTTATATTCAGTATATTTCCCTGGGGATCTTTTGTAGGTCTGCAAGAAAAGTTTGTTTTCCATAAAACATTTTAACAATGAAAACAATGAAAACGTATAAAATATATGCTATTCGACTCCTTTACTGGTAAAATACTAGCTTAGAAAGGGCATTATTTTTTTGGAATTCCACAGTCATACTGAAAAACTTAACTCGGCCTTGTTGGCTTAATTAAAAAATATTGCATCTATCGATTCGCGCAGCGAAATTCGCCGTTACTTTCCTTTGAAATCGCGGCATCTCTCTAAAAATCCAAGCCGCGCTCTAGCGACACCAAAGGATCAATCTTGTTACCTCAGTTTTT